GTAGCTCAATTCCTTTGTTGACCTAGTTAATTAATGTTCCACCAACTTTGCTTTCAGCAGAATCATTTATCACTGACCAGTGTGATTCATCCCTGCAATTCCAGGACTGGGTATTCCTTCCTTGACTGCCTCTCTTAGGGATGCTGGAGAATCACTGCACAGTGACCTTGCTCTACCCTCAAGCACTCTCCTCATGCAAAGGCATCAGGAAAAGAGCAAGCTATGCTAGTAACTACAGGTCAACTTAATACATGATTAAGTCTTCTGAAATGTTCTGCTTCATCATTCCTCTAACTAGTAATTCACTAGTTATTCACAAGTATATAATGTGCAAATTTGTTAAACCTTGCAAATTCAAGAGGTTTTGCATTTTCTTCATAAAAGTTCATTTCTTCTTTTTTTTTAAAAAAAGTTATATTGTCAACTGGACTCCTGGTGTGGCACTGTGGATCCACACAATGTCAGCAGTTCAAACCCACCAGCTGTTTCTTGGAAACCCTATACAGGGCCACTATGAATCAGTACTGACTTGATGGCACATAACAACAATAAATTGTGAACAGAGTAAAGGTTTACAGAGAATATCATAAGTTTTACGTTCAACAAATCATACACTTTGTTTCATCTCAATGACTGGAATCCCCTATATGCAAAAACAGTTTTCTTCCTTCCTCCCTGTGGTTTCTATTTCCATTCCACCATCTTCCCATCCCTTCTCAACTTTGTTACTCTTCAGTAAATGTTATCCTTTGATCTTGAATGATTGATTGACCATTCCATGGTGAGCATACCTTATTAGTGTTGTTTCCTACCACTTAATTCCTATCTACTGCTGGCTGAAAATTGGGCCACAAGAGTTAGTTCCTTTCCAGACCTGAAGGGTGGTCAATGGGCCATAGTCTCAGGTTTCTGAAGTCTTTTTCTGACCAGTACTCCTGGTCTCTTTTTAATAGTTTTGAGTTTTGTTACATATTTTCTGCCACTCTATATGGAACCTTATAATGCGATCCCTTTCAGAGCATTTAGTAGTGGTAGCCAGACACCATCTAGTTTTTATCGTATCTGAGTCATGGCGATTGATACTCACCTGACTGATTGATACTCCAAGCATCTTCAGTTTTAATCACTCTTTTCTCCTCTGCACAGGGAGAGAGCAGTAATCGCACCTTAGATAGCCGCTCGTGAGCTTTTAAGATCCCAGATGCTACTCACCAAAGTAGGATGTAGAACATTGATTTTATGGAGTATGTTATGCCAATTGACCATAGTGTCACCAGAGACTGTGGTTCTGAGCCCCCACACCCAGCAACTCATTATCTTAAGATATTTGATAATATCTAAGTAGTTTTCTGGGAGTTCTCATGTGGTGCTGTGAGTTAATGCACTGGACTGCAAAGTTGGTTTGAACTACATGCTCACCAGCTGCTCCTCGGAAACACTCTACAGGGTTGCTATGGGTCAGAACTGACTTGAGGGCGCTTAATAACAACAACAACATGTTCTACCACATTCATAGGTGTTTCTGGAAAAAGTAAATACCTATGTACAGATACCCTCTTTCAAACACTTCTGTATTTTTGGGTATACTCCCACTCTCTCTCCCATACCCATTCAACCTGTGTATCTGTCCATGCATTTATCCATAGCCCACTGTTGTTCCAGAGTTGTGTATATTCTTCTGTTCCCTTTAACTCATGCACACTTCCCTGTCTTTACTTGTCTTCATCATTCTTCTGCCAACCTCCCTCTTCTTGTATATTGCTCTCCCTGTCACCTGAGCTAATATATGATGAAAAGTCATTTCTTGTCTTTCCTTTCAAAGCTTTTAAGTACTTTTGAACAGAGAAATTTTAAAGTCAGTATATAGTTCCCTCCTTTTCTCCATAACTCTAGCACAATACAGGTTATATATTTGTTGTTGTTGTTAACTGCCATCAAGTTGGTTCTGACTCATAGCAACCATGTATAAGGTTTCCTAGGCTGTGAATTCTGGGGGGAGTAGAAAGTCTCATCTTTTCCCCAAGGTTATATATTAGTGGTGGTGGTAATTGTGTGTACCACTGAGTTGGTTCCAACTTATCGTGACCCTATATAGGGTTTCTGAGATGTAAAGCTTTACAGAATCAGAAAGGCTCATCTTTCTCCCATGGAGCAGCTAATAGATTCAAATTGCTGACCTTGTGCTTAGCAGCCCCACTGATAGAGGTTCTTGAGGTTATATATTAAGTTCTTATAAAATTGTCTTTACTAGTGACTTGCTCCTATACTAAATATAAGAATGTCAATTTTCATTACATTTGGTATGTACTAAGAAATGTTACAATAAAAATTTCAGCAAAATTAACATTTTCTCATTGACTTTCATTATATAAAGATGGTGTTGTTGTTGTTATTGTTAGGTGCCATTGAGTCAGTTCTGACTCACAGTAAACCATGTACACAACAGAACCAAACACTGCCAGGTCCATGCCATCCTCACAACCATTATGCTTCAGTCCATTGCTGATGCCACTCTCCCAGCAATAAAATCACACATAAAATTAAAGAAACAGTGCACATTAAAAAAAAAAATGATAGCTTTAATAGTTCGTATCAGTGGTGTTCAAACTTTAAACCTCAAATACTTGTAAATAACATACTGCGCACTGTAAGGAAATAATTGACAGACATATCGCTGAAAACTAGAAAACAGAGATGTTCTATGGTTTGCACCAGGTCATCTGACTCCACTATAATCTGCTGCTTCTGTATGGACATCTCATTGCTTCTAAGAGTTTAATTGCTTTCTATTTTTATAAACTATTACTTGATTGTCAGTTTGTCATACTATAGGGACTTGGCTGTGGTTACGATGCTAGAGCTGTGCCACTGATATTTAAAATACAGCATGGTCACCCATGGTGGACAGGCTTTAGCAGAGCTTCCAGACTAACACAAACTGGGGAAAAGGCCTGATGATGTACTTCTGAAAACTAGCCAATGAAAATCTTATGGCTCACATAACAACAGAACACTGTATAACTCACTTGCTTTGGACATATCATCAAGAGGAATCAATGACTGGAGGAGGGTAGCTTGTTTAGTGAAGTAGAGGGCTCCCTCAGTCTGATAGATTGGACCAATAGTCATAGCAATGGACTGAAACATGTCAGCAATCATGAGGGTGACATAAAACTGAACAATGTTTTGTTCTTCTGTACTCTGATGAATCAGAATCTACTTAAGGACATCTATCTATCTATCTGGAGTCCCGGTGTGGTGCTGTAGCATAATGCACTGGACCATAAGGTCAGTTTGAACTGCAAGGTTAGTGGTTCAACTTCACCAGCTGCTCCTTGAAAAACCTATACAGGGTTGCTATGAGTCGGAATCAACTCGACGGCACATAGCAACAACAACATTTATCTGTCTATCTATCTATCTATCTATCTATCTATCTATCTAGAGTCTTGTTGTGGCAATTTGGGTTAGTTCGCTGGGCTACAAGGTCAGTTTAACTGCAAGGTTGGTGGTACAAGCTCACTAGCCCCTCCTTGGAGACTCTAGACAGGGTTTCTATAAGTCAGAACCAACTCACAGCACTTAACAACAACAACAACAAGCTATCTCTCTCTCTCTCTCTCTCTCTCTCTCTCTGTCTTTTTCTCTCTCTCTCTCTCTCTCTTCCGATGGAACTATGTATCTATTTATTATCTATCAATCCTTAAAAACAAATTTGAAGCCCATGATATTGGTTAAGATATCTGTCCTTGGAGTCTAATATACTACTAACCAGCTGACCTCAGTCATATTAGAAAGCTTCAAGTCTCAGTTTTTTCATCTATAAAAAGTTGCTGTTTGACAGATAGTGTGTGGAGCTATAGCATAAGTTCCCTGGTGGTGTAGTGATTAGGATTTGTCCTTCTCGCTGCTGTGGCCCAGGTTCAATTCCTGGAAGCTGTTCTGAAGTCCTGGTGTGGCACTGTGGGTTAATGCACTAGACTGCAAAGTTGCTTTGAACTTCAAGGTCAGTGGTTCAAGTTGACCAGATGCTCCTCAGAAACCCTATACTGGGTCGCTATGGGTCGGAACCGAGCCATCGGCACTTAAAAACAACAATAGGATAAGCACTGGATGGCAAAATCAGTTTGAACCGCAATACTGGCAGGTCAAAATCCTTGGAAACTCTATACAGGGTTGTTAAAAGTCAGAAACAACTCAACGGCACCTAACAACAGCAGTATATGGTATGCACTCAATAAACAATTATTATTATTAAATTATTATTATTATTTCCATGTTGTTGTTAAATGCCATCGAGTCAATTCTGACGCATAGCTACCTTGTATAGGGTTTCCAAGCAGCAGAGGGTGAGTTTGAACTGCCTACTTTGCAGTTCAAACTGACTGGCCATCCAGTGCTTATCCTACAATGCAGGATCCCAAAGTGCACACACAGCATGATTCAATTTCATTAAAAGGAAGGGGGAAGCATATGTGTGTGTTATTGTTGCTGTTAAGTACCATTGAGTTGGTTCCAACTCATAGCAACCCTGTATAGGTTTTCTAAGGTGTAGCTGGTGGGTTTGAACTGCCAACCTTTTGGTTAGCAGTCTAGTGGTTATACTATAGTGCCATACTAGGACACCAAATATGTGTGTGGATGTATGTAAATATACACAGAGAAAGAAAGACACATTCAGAAAAATCTTTTGTAAAAATGAACTACCAGTCTAATAGTTAATAATTTTTGTTCCACTATATTTTTCAGATTTTCTTCCAAAAACACAGGTTAAATTGGTAAATATAAGGGAAAAAAAATGTTATTAGGAAGAAGAGAAAAAAAAAGGAACTTTCACAAAAATAAACTATATTTGTTCAGAGTGCTATGTCTACAAAAAATACTTTTCACATCATTTACGACAATTAGAAAAATAGGCTATCCTCAGTGCTTTAAGCAGACTGTTTAGTTCTTTTGGTTACAGAATATCAGTGACATTCAAAACCATACAAACACATTACCTTCTGTAAGTTCCATTCAGGTTGTCCACTAGTTCCGTCATGTCCTATCCTGATCTTATATATCTCTCCAATACTTCTTATTTCAACCTGAATGAAATGTAAAGAGAAAAAAATGGAATTTTTTCAACTAAGCATATTCTGAAATTCTTCCTCTTTTTCATGTTAAATATGTTGTTGTCGTTGTCAGGTGCCATCGAGTCAGAACCGACTCATAGCAACCCCATGCACCGCAGAACGAAACAATGTCCAATCCTGGGCCAACCTCACTACCGCTGCCACACTTGATGCCATCAATGATGCCACCTGGCCGATCCATCTCGTTAGGGGTCTTCCTCTTTTTCTCTGACCCTCCACCTTACCCAGCATGACATCCTTCTCCAGTGACTGTTTCCTCCTGACAATATGTCCAAAGTATGAGAGACGAAGCTTAGCCATCCTGGCCTCCAAGGAGCACTCTGGCTGCACTTCTTCCAAAACAGACCTACTGGTTCTTTTGACAGACCATGGCACTTAAGTATTCTCCTCCAACACCACAA